GAGCTTCGTAGTCGTGCTTGTTTCGACTAAGAGAAGCCTGTGATGACCGTCCAACGGAAAATTTCACCAGAAACATCGGAGAGGGCTTTTTTGCATCTGTACGCGTGTAGGTGAACTGTCTTGAATTGGCACCCGCCTTTACTTCCAGTTGCACTTTCTCCGTTTCTTCGCAGCTGAGCTTGTTCTTTCAAAGTGCCTTGAGCAACAAAGACTTGACTTTTGTGGCAAATCTGCCTCATGAACCACCCAACCAATGGTCTCCACGTGAAATAAACTTCGAACGCCCTCGATGCGCCGAGACTGGTGTTAATTGGGACCTCGTGACGATGATCCTTTCTGGCTTGTGGTTCTTCCTTATACCAACGCATTCGTTGAGAGATCGTATTCCTTGCTTGTTTGACGAAGCGTGGAACGAGACTTGAAAGTTCGCAGTCAAAGATTTACCTCATATTTTTTTTCGTTGGGATACACAATGGGTATCTCGATGGATGGTAGCGTCATTAGGAAACACTTACGCATGTCCTGGCACTATGCATTGCCAGACAGTTGCGCTGTGTAGCTCCAATAAGCTTTCTTTTGTCGATTACCTTGTCAGTTTTTTTGAACGAGTGAGTGTGGCATCATGATTCGTTCCAAGTGTCGGTTTCGAGCCATCTTTTTGAGGCAGTGCCACTGTACTTTTCCCATTTTCTTTTCGAATAATTGCTTGGACGCTTGCAGTGGGCTCATGAAAGTGTCGTTAGCCAGAATCTGTGATCTCCGCTGCTTCCAGGTATCAGAACGACTGTGGGATCTGCGAGATTGCGTCATCGTTACTCGTAGTTTCCACTTGAAAAACACAGGCCGCGAGGTTAGGGTTAGTGTTGCCGTCAAAAGAGGCACTTTGATGACTGGGTCCTTGCAGTATCCATCCAAGCGTCGTGTTGGTCGCGATCAATCCTGGAATTTCCATGCTTCTTATTATTGTTCAAGTAGTCAACTCCCACAGGTGGTGAGCTCCACTCAACAATCTGAGGCCATTTACCACCTCTCCGTCGAACTTCTTTTATTCGGCAATGACTTTCCCTTCGCTTCGCATCTTTCGTATTAGGTAGCCACCACCTGTCGGCGAAAGGAAGTCGTCACAGATAACATCACGAAAATGACCCGAATGATGTAGATTTTATAATGGTGTTGGCTCCGCAGGGCGACTTAAATAACTTTTCGTTTTTCTGGAGAACTTGGGAAAACGCTGCCGAACGTGTTAAATGAAACTCGAGTTGCTCCCAGCAGCTTAAGTCGAATTTTTCCAGATAGATCTTTTGAGATGTATGATCACTGGCTTCCTCCACCGAGAATCCCTCTGATGTATCTGGATCTGCTACCGTTGACGACAAAGGCGCGAAAGGTCTGCAGGTGCACTCCTGTGTCCGTCTTTGGGCAACCACTCGAGGAATTCTTGCCGCATAGCATCACTGAGTTGACTGCGAAAATTGACAGCAACCTTTGCCATTCGAAAGACAACCTTTCCCATATCACCCATATGGGTCATTTCTGAAGGACATTTGATGCTAGGCCTCCTAAAACACATCGATACCGATCTCCAAAATGACTATCTGGAAGACGATAATGAAATACAGTTTTTGTTTCACGGTTATAGACAGGGTGGCCACATGGGGTGCCTCACTGAAGCGATCATTTAGACCTGCAGCTCACGAACATACCTATTGAAAAAATATTTAAATCGCAGGGCGAAGGCACTCTTGTGCAAACCGCGGGCCGCAAAGGAGAGGCTCGCGGGCGGGTTGTTGGAGACACCCAATCTTGAATATCAAGGAGGAAAGGGCAGAACCTGCTGCCTGTCTCCCTTTTATTTTAAAGGGCTTGGTACAGCACGTCGGTTTTATAAATGAAAGTCATGTCATGCCTACATAGTAATATGGCTGCTTAATGTAAGCAACGAAACGAAGAAACCATGTCTTTTTACATAATCGCTTCGTTATTTACGCTTTGTGAAAATAGAAAAGTTTCCAATGCAAGAACGTATCTGCCGTGAAATCTCATCGGCAGTAACCAGGGGTGTTGTCAGATTTTTTTTTTTGCATTGTAAGGGGGGGGGGGGAGAGTTCAACAGTACGTTATTATGTTCGTGCCTGCGTTTTTATGTGTGTGTATATATGCGCAAGCGGAAAAATTTTGGCGGGGAGGGGGAAGGAACGAGGTTGAACCCCCCTGGCTGTGCCCATGACAAAGAGAGAGAGAGAAAATGTCTTTATTGATAAAGGCATTGAGAGGGAGGGCGTATACTTGATGTTCTTTTTCCAGAAAAGGAGCTGCAGAGGGCGAATAAAAGTAAGTATGCATTTGTATGCCACCTGACATCATCCAAGATCTTCGAGTGACATGTCGGCGCACGCCTGTATGCATATAAATTAAGATCAATGCTGGTGAGCCAAGGAGTGAATCTGGCGTTGAATCTTTATCGCTATAGTAAAAGAAAAATGAAGGCATTTCAGTTATACTTTCGTAGTAAATGCGCAGTCACGCACTGGATGCATTGCTTGAGGAAGGAAATAAAAGAAATAAGAAAAAAGTGGTCTTTCTTTTATTGCTCGATGAATAAACGAATAGTACGGGAAATCTGGGGGGGAGTGGTGGGGGGGGGGGGGGGGGGTCTCTTTTTTCAGGTAGCTTCATAAGAACAAGCCCCCCCCCCCCCCACCTCTGGCGCCGGCACGGGATATTTTTAAAAAAATTGGCTTATGCCTCCCCACCCCCACATTGACAACGGGCTGTCCGCTGTTCTGTCTGGTAGCTCTTTCACAGGCTTATACCCACTTCGTTTGATCATAGACCAGTGAAAATGACAAGCCAAACATTCAGTTAAACATGCTCCTCAGAAAAAATGGTATGCGCAGAACCCAATATGTTGTGTTTACAAACTGAAGCGACCTCTTCAGGTATGACAAGCTGGTCTTGGATTGCGCAGCGACTGGTTTTCAGTAGACAAGAATGCTACTGTGAGCATAAAGCCGTTCCTACACAATCAGTTTGGGAATGCTTTATTTTGCACAGACTTGGTCACCAGAAGGTGATTTCTTAGTTGTCTACAAATGCGTACTCTTCGACATGACTGCCTATACAAAAGCGCCGAGAAGAGATGGTGCGCATTTTTTTCCTTTCTCAGCAAAATCATTTACTGCCAACTGAAAGTGGTGGCCAAAAAACAACCCTACTAATGGTCTAGAAAACAACCTTCGGCGGGAAAAGGCGTAACTCCTGCTCCGCAAAAGGTATTAGCGGCAGAAAATGGTACTTACCGGCGTGTGGGAATTATCATTGGCCGTGTTTAATTGGATTTACGGACGCAATTAAAGCTTACTGTGCCAGCATCAGCCCCCCCCCCCGTCCTCCTCTTGTCTGTTGCCTGGTTTCACATAGTAAATCATACTAGTGAACTAGTGAAAACATTTGGCAAGCCTCACGCATTGTGGGAATCGATTTTATGGGATGCAGTCAGCGAGTACCAGCCTGTGCAGCCTTTTTCGCTTTGAGCCAAGCAGTACCGTTACAATGTAGATCGATGTATTTGCGTAAATTGAAACAAAATCAGTCTGGATCAGTTTCTCATTAAAGATATTCATAATGACATCATGGTGTCGGCACCTAAAGACTGAATTGCATTACGTTCTTTAATTTGGAAGTCGGACTCTCTCTCTCTCTCTCTCAGAGATAAAGCGATAGCACTTTGGAAGCGCGCTTCTGGCCCCGCCTACTCCGGGAAAATGAAAACTCTATCTCCGCCTATGGCGTGATGCGTACTACGCAGCCTTTTTAACTGCGCGTTTAACGTTTCACTGATTGGTATTTGAAATAGCACACGATGATTAAAATAACTAGTCAGCTACGAAATTATTCCGTGAATCCTTCCTTCTATACATTGCGTCACAGTTTCGGTGTCGCTAACTTCACTTCACCTGTCATCGCTCCGCTGACCTCGAGTAGTAAGGGCATCCATGGAAATATCTCCGCATATGTGTCACCCCAGAAATACAAATACTTATGCACGCGAAACGGGGACAATGTAACTACGCTCGACTTGGAACTTCTTCCTGTAATTCTAACATGATATATTCATTTTCGTACTCCTCCAATATTTACCGTCGCTCCGGGTATGGCGGCGGCGATAGGCCGGCCGTGAACTCAGTGCATGATAAGAACGCAAGAGTTTGATTAGGCAGTTCAATGATTTCCCTACACACCCCCAACGGTTGATGATGCCCCCCCCCCCCCCCCCCCAGCTTGTTTTCCTGAGGTCACCCTTAATTCGCAACGACTTTTCTTTCTCCGTCTTTGTGCGCGACGGAAAATTCTGTCAATTAGCATCTTAAGAACTCTCGCATAAACCCCTGAGGCAATTTATACCATTTGGGTGTTTTATGCAGAAAGAATAAGCCTCAAAATCTGGCCTGCAATTGTCCCACTCATGGGCGTCGGCAGAATTGTTTCTTGGTGGTTTCAAAGCCAAGTTACAGTGTACTAGAAGCTAAGTTGCATCGTAAGGGGCAGGGGGCAAGTTCTTTATCATGCGTTACTCCAAGCCTACGCCGAAGGCCCCACCTGACCGTCTAAATTTCGCAAAGTGCACTGGTAGTTCGATATTTCTAACCTCTTTAGGGTGCCAACTAATTTTGTTTTCACAGCTAACACCTAGGAAAATCGAACGCAGACGGCCCTATGACTCAAGCATTCAACGGCATGATTTATTACCATTTAGCTCATTTAGTTATGCACATGAGTAGCCAAAAGGTCCAACGACCTTCATCATGCCATGAGCGGTATCGCTGTGTGACTGCTCATTACATCATGAAGGATTTATGTGTTTACCAACGTTGGTGTTTACGTCGTTTAAATAATTTCAAACTTGCCGGGCTGGCGAAAAGTTTGGACTTGTAGCGCCCTCTTTTACTTGGTATGAGAAACAAAGTTGCATCCTGCGCGTTTCAAAAGCGAGTCGCGCTGCGTGCAGCAAGTGGTTGTGGCGTTGTGATCCGGTGCGGAAGTAGTGAAGACGACATTTGTTCAGATTGTGGCTATACATCGTGTTCTACCAGACATCATGAAGAATTTAGAGCCAATAGGTCTGATCACTCTGACGTGCGTTTTTCTGAACTGCTTCTACCAAGGTAAGCGCGAGCATCTGCTGTAGCTTGAGTTTTGGTTTTCCAACATGGCGATTCCCGCACGAAAATGATGTCAAATAATCATATGTGTGCAGCGATGAAAGGATATACCTTTCATTTTTTTTCGAAATATATAGCCAGTTGCTGTTAGCATGGAAAGCCTAGCCGACTTCGAAAAATATATAATATGTTTGTTTGCAGATATTGTTGTTCCTTGTCACTGAAGTTCATCGTCGAAAGAATGCTTGTTGGGAGTGGTTTCGCTAGATTGGCCAACATAGCGTACGCATGGAAACGCATTTGACGCGTTCCTTGCACGATATCGATGAGGGTTGGCGGAAGCGCTTAATTTTATGCAGTTATGTGCTTAATTTTATGCACTCAATTAGATACTGGAAGTGTTAATGCTGTGTTCCCGTTGGAAGTGCATTTGCGACATCTCTCGTTAATTTGTTTATTCCTAGTGCGTAAAGCCACTTGGTGGCTAGAAAACTCTTGGCATTGAGTTCAGGGTGTGTCCTTATACAGGACCCCTGTTTTTGCAAACTGAAGCCGAAACAAGGATGTGTACCTCGATAAGCTGTTCAAAGCCTGGATATCTAAATGATATGATCTCAAGGACAACTGTTGCAGTTCTTAACTCTTCCGAAAGTTGTACTATCTTACATATAAAGTGTTGAAGTGCTTGAGTTGACTGTATGTATTGTGTCGCACTTTCAGCGATGGCCATCAAATGTTACCAGTGTAGCACCAGTGAGGATCCTAAGGGTGAAGACCGCTGTGGAGCATACGCCTACTATGACAAGACCAAGAATACGGCTGTTGAGTGCTTAGGGGAAGAGGCCAAGGCACTGGGCACCTTTTGCTACAAGCGTATCATGCAGGGGCCTAGGGGATTTATCTGTGAGTCACATTTTGCATGTGTTCTATTAGAAAGGTGAGAACTGGTAATTGGGTACAATTTCACCGACAGCTCGGCCAAATTTGCCTTTAAATTGACCTGTGAACGAGCCATAGGTGTGTACACAACATATAGCTTCTTCAAAAATGTCCCTTCGATTGGCACTCCACTTTTGCACAAGAAAGTAAATTGCATGCAATGTGTCTCCACAGCTGTACTAGTCATTGGACATAATAACATTTCATGGTAGAAAATGTGTGAGCTCAGCACCATCTGTGTCTCAAATGTATTGAAGGAGAGCAATGTTTACAAAGTAAGTTACTTTAGAAATTCCTTGTAGAATGGTTACTTTGATAGAATGTCTTGTTCGATTGACAGTTTTTGTTTACGTAGCTGTCATGGGCTCTCATTGAATCTGGGGAATAGGTGAAGGACCAAACATAATATATTTGCTCCTGTATTGTATTTAGCCAAAGCCATACCTGTGGAATACCTTTTTGGTAAATTGTTGCAAAGTATAGTCACCATTCACTGACCAGAGGGAGCTGCTTCGCTCGAACTGGCCCGTCTCAAGTTCGCTACACGTCCCCCATGTATCATGGGCACAATCCGCCAACTCATGCAGGGAGGGCTATATGAACATCGCATTCCTTTTTGTCCAACCCTGTCTCATTATTGCTTTTTCGATCCACTGAGGTTTGGGTTCTGGTGCTGTGATACACTGAAAATTCAACTGTACGATGCCTATTATCAGGATTTGGGTTCATTTCTAGGAGCGTGTCACCTAATAGTGGGGGTTCAGGTATGGATGTAAAAAAGCACATGCATGCGTGTGCACTCATTCTTACAAAATAATTGCGAGGACTGTTGGCATTCTAGTGGGCTGTAAAAGAATAAACTGGTGAGGAAGTTGATATGAAAAGCTGATGTATAGTAAATGTACTATTAACAGAGTTTTATAAGGATGTTTAAGTAACTAGTAAGCTGACTTCATTTGAGAGTATCAGTTTTTCTGTTGCCTCGCTCCTCTACACAAAATATGGAGAGAACCAACGTTGTCTGCTTTTCATTTCATTGAACTCTTAGTGTCTCATTTTGGTGCTTGCAAACTTCACCTCCCTGACCAAGAGGTAAAGTTTGACTATGAAAGTAAAAAATGCTCCCGTCCTGAAAATGAAATTAAATTTTCAAAAAAACATATGTACTGCACCTCTAATAATGTTTTCTATTTTCTAATGCATCTAGCTAAGTGACAATGGCCTGCTATTGTCGCTCACATTACTGGGTGCCCATTCTCTCTAACACTCCAACAGGCTAGTGCCTAGCTAATCTAAAAGCTGGGCAGATTTGCATCATTATGAGCGGTAGATTTGTTGAAGTGAAATTGCAGTATGTGTTACTTCAAACAATTTTCTCAAATTGTTAGGCTGTGTGTTATGATGCTGTTCTTAGTTGGCAGAGTTTTAGGGCTGGTTGCCTATTGTGCAGCAAAATGTTCTTAAGCACACACGTCAAGACAGAGCAATATTACTACTGCTCTTCTTCTTGTAAGATTTCTGGCTATTTGTTAAACTAAATAATTAAATTTTGCTGTCCTCTTGCTTCCAGAACAACATTGAAGCCACAAAATGGTTCGATAGTTGTGTGCATGCAGTTTGCTGAGATTATAGTTGTACACACTTTGGCTTTCGTTATAAATGTATCAGAACAGTAGAAGTTGCTGTAGGCAACACTGTGAACAGTTATGTTATATTCAGCAGTAGCTACGTTCTCTTGCTTTACTTAATTTATTTCAATAAACATCCATAATTGCTACTGCCTACTTTTGAATGACACAACTCGCCCTTTTAGTAATTTGCTGTAGCCACTATCATGCAGACCCTGTACGTTTATAGGGAGAGTTGTAGAACGACTGAGACCCGTGAGTGGATATTTGGTTTTCTTCCTCAAGTTACACGTAACTCTTCATTTATGTATCACTTAGACAACTCTCAAAGGAGGTTTTCTATGGATATTTTTCTCCATTTTTTTTCTAATGCATGACATGTTTTTGAAAGCAATTTTCACATTAAACATCTCTTAAAACTTCTTGTGTTGGCATTGCTTCTGGCTGTTGTCATGGTGGGTGTGGAGGGAAATGGCTGTGATACTTCTGCCAACAAAACAAGTAGCTCCCCTTAGACGGGTTTACTTGAAGTTTTTGTCGAGTTTACATTGCCCACCAATGTAATACAATACCTTGCGCATGTGATTTTCACCATGTGATCTACGCACTGCACTGTGTTTTTGTAATTCCCAAACCTTTCAAGTGGCTTCATGATAACTGGGATTGCTGTGTAGTGTGTATTGCTCTTCAGTTGTTTAATATCAAATAGCAGGTAGAACAAGGATAGTTAAAAGAGCACTGTTATGACAGTTGTTCTACTCTAAAAGTCTCCTAACGTTAGAATTATCACACTGTGAGATATAATTTTGCGCAGTGTCATCCTGTGTCCACGAAACATGGGTCAACTTATTTGATCTTCATGCTGTTTGTAGGTAATGTTCCTACTATTAATTCAGTTTTTATTAATATTGTAAGCATACGGAAACATGGGGGTGGATATCTGTGCTAGCTTGATGACATCCTAGTTTTATTTGTTAATAAGCTTATTAATGCTCTTGCATTTTTTTTAAAGGGGATGGCCGGTGGAGAAGTGTGGAGCGACGATGTGCCCAGATCTCGGAGCGAGGTGTCAACTGGGGTTGTGACTGGGGCTACCACGAAAATGGTGTCTATTGGGAGGAGTGCTACTGTGCTGAAGACAGCTGCAATGGTGCTGACCAGCTTAATGTCCGTTCACTGCATGCTTTGCTCGTGCTGTGTGGAAGCCTTGCATTGCTCAGGCATCTGAATTTCTTCTGATCGGTACCAGTCGATCATGTTGCATGTCCTTGCACTACTTAATATGCTTTGTGTGAGGAGAAATCTTGCAAAAGCTGGTGACCTAGACAGGAAGGTTCAGAGGAGAAAATCTTGTCGTTTTGCCTTACTCACAACCACATGGGTCTCATGCATTGTACAGTATGCCTTAGCATCCTAAATCTCACTTGACCCAGTGTTTTTGAAGTCCTTCCATACGGGATGTTTTATTTTTGCGGTCAGTGGTAGTTTTATGCAAGTATTTTGGCTCATTATTCATGGGAACTTGCGAAAGAACCTGTTTTACTGTAAGTACATTCGTCAGCAAAATAATTCAGGATGGGAGAGCGGCGACCACACTCATATAACTGCATTTCCGCGCTATTTGATATCGAGCGTTTGTTGTTGAGACATTAATCAGTACACGTACGCGTCATTTCACACCCACAGCTGTGTTCTTTTTGCTCATTTTCAGACTACTAGCTGATGACATGTGTTTGGTGGCAGGGGCACTTGCTTTTTTCAATCCGTCATGCACTTCATTCAACGGGGGCACAGTTGGCGTGAAGCTTACGCTGCTCACTTTACTTCCTTTAAGATAACATTTTTTTGAGTGAGAAAGTGTTGCCGTATACAGCATTAGTTCCTTTCTGTGCACGTTCATTTTGGGGAAACCGTGCTGTTTGGTATTTAAATGTAAACAAGGGCACCGAATGCGGAGAGGTGCTGAGCCAACAAAAAAATTATTTGTTATTCTCATAACTTTGGAAGGTCCAGCTGCTGCTTGTTATCTGTCTAATAAAAGTAACACAAACAGCTTACCCTTCCCCACCAGCGGGCCCTTGTCGGAGTGAGTGTGCGATGTATTGAATAAACAAAGCGACCCCTACTGCATAATACAACATGTAATCAGCTAGCTGTTTACAATCGACTAAAGACACAGCTGCGAGTGTGAAAGGATGCTCGTGCGCATTGTGATGTCTGGACACCAGACGCTCAACGTCCCATGGCACAGCGATGCAGTACGATATGACTGTGGTTGCCGCACACGTGTCCTGACTTATTTTGATGACGGTTGTACATTAAGCACACACGGGAAGATGAGTGCACAGGAAACAAGGTCAAGGGCACTTTTATTATAATATAACCAAGTGGGCAATGTTTCTAACCTGTGTAGCTTAGGCGTTAGGAAGTGAGTGGTACAACGTTCATGTACTTTTTCAGATATAGAGTTTTATTCTAAAAAAAACAGCCCTCAGTAAAAGGAGGCTATTATTTAGTTATTGCGTGAAGTGCTTGTAGTGGTTGCTATATAGTCCTTGAACATTTAAGTGAAGGAATGTAGAAATGCAGGCTATAAAATTTGTCACTGTTGAGCTTCTTTTATTACAACCATAGACAGTAATGCTCCGTCCATCTTTATATCTTATTTTTTATTGTGATTTTTGATATTTCGTGTTTTTAGCCACTTTGCCATATTGTGCACAATTTGTATACCTTCTGCATCTTTTTATGCATTATTTCATAAAGCTGTAAAAGCATTGTTAAAGTTTAAGTGTACTAAATCATGTGAAGTTGTATAGTCATCATGCAGAATTGTGTACCACAAAATATGCAGTTGAGCCAAGGCTCAGTCAAGTAAACTATGATCTTTTAAGTACATATCTGTGCTCTTTTGCTAAATGGCATTGTTGTATAGAACTTCTGTCTTCTTGCTAAGTTTAGAGACTATGAGACCAATAAGGCTGGAGTTCTGCTAAATTTCTATATATACGAGAACTGAAATTGTGAACATTGCTGTATTTGGCTGTATAGTATATAAAGGTTGATTAGTTATATTACTTCATTAGTACAACTATGGTATTTGAACTTTCACATTCACTGTCGTACGTTTACCTTGGGTGAGTGAAATTTATCTCAGTAACGTTGTGTCAATTTACATTTTTAAAAATAATTGCTCGGGAAGAGGTTTGTGAGAGCAGACTGTGATTTATTGCTGATAAAGAGCTTAACCTTGGGCTTTCCTTAAGACTTTCTTGTGGGCTAAGAAACATTTGTCACACTGAACAGCTATTGCAATTTCCAGTTGCAATATTGCTTTTCATGAAATTGATTGCAGACATTTGGTGAAAGGTTTCAGAAATAAATAGGGCTATATGAAGTTTTTCATGGAAACAACTGCATACACCATGCATCCCCACCTCTTGCTGCATGTGTTAGCTGTGCAGTTTTCATGGCAAGCTGTGTGGGCATTCTCACTTTCTGCCATCAGGTTGTTCGGTAACTCGCTGCAATAATGCATATTCCATAGGACACTGGATAACCGAAATCTTCTGTGGCATATCTTGTGCCTAGCTTGAATGTAAAATATGGATTGAATAGGATAATATTTTAAACTATCACTTATAAAACTGCCAGATCTTGGATTCAAGTCTGCATGCAAGAAAGGGTAGGTGCCAATGTGAAAATGTATGCAACGCTAACGATGGATCAGTGCTGTTTATGGTTGCACCATTAAAATAATTTAAAAGCTGTGGTCGGTTTTTGGTGTGAAGATCTGCAAGAATTGTACACATGCTGCTATTTTATTTGTAGCATGGCAAGGCTTTGTTCGATAGAACACCAACAGGGAGGAAAGAGAAGGCAGCATATCTTTGAGTTTGTATAACCTTGATTTAGCTGAATGTAAATTTGTTAATGTACTAACTCTCAACATCATAACAGTCAAGTTTGTGAGATAATTCTTAGTTCTACTTGGGCCTAAGTTCACTGAGGGCTCATTACAAACACAATACCATTTTACAGTGTGGTTTGCAAGATGTGTAAAGGTTCACTACCTTCTAGCTCATTGTATTCACTTCTTAGAAGAGGGCTTTCCAGTGTAATCTTGTGGCTCATGCTTTGATAATGCATTTCATTTTTTATCTGTAATAATAATTTAAAATTGTATACAGATTTTACTTGTGTATTTGCACATATGCTCACTTGAACCATGTTACATCAAAGTTTATTTTGAAAGTCTTTCTGACCAATATTTTTCCTAAAAGATTTATTAATGCATGTATGTATGCCTTTCAGATAGAGTGCTATTTTACCAGAACCATTCCGTCCATAGTGTATAAGCTAGTTTTATGGATAGTACTTCATTACATCATTGTCTAATCAGAAAGAACAGGCACTTGATATTTTGATGATCATACATTTTATTGACTTGGCATCCTTAATGAAGTCAGTGTCTTAAATTCATATATTCGTGCCCCGCCGCAGTGGTCTAGTGGCTAAGGTACTCGGCTGCTAACTCGCAGGTCGCGGGTTCGAATCCCGGCTGCGGCGGCTGCATTTCCGATGGAGGCGGAAACGTTGTAGGCCCGTGTGCTCAGATTTGGGTGCACGTTAAAGAACCCCAGGTGGTCGAAATTTCCGGAGCCCTCCACTACGGCGTATCTCATAATCATATGGTGGTTTTGGGACGTTAAACCCCACATATCAATCAATCAATCCATATATTCGATATTCGAGTTTTTTTTAATAGTTTTTGTTTCACTGTAAGAAACTGATAGTTCGCCCCTGGTAATTGCAGATATGCCTTTGATATGGTTTGAAATAGCATGTTTGTGGCTTTAATGTGCATGTGGTGTTGATGGGTACACATGGGAACAGTATTGCAGCATGGTGCTGGGCAGGAAAGAATCGTAGTGTGACAACGTGCTTATACCAACGGTATTTGATTGAGTGCGACGGGCAAAGCGTCATAGAATGCATCAAGGTGCATTCCATTGGCTTGTGTGGTGGAAGTACACAAGTAGATGGGTTCAGTAGAGAGAAGGTTTGCTATGCAGTCATGGTGTGTGTGTGGAAGGCATACTTGGGCACATTGTTGTAGATGCGAAGATGGTGTTTTTCTTTCTTAACCTCACTGCAAAACATTTCGTACTTTACATCAGTAATAAGGTTAAAAGTGTTGCAAAAGCATAAAAAGAAGAAAAAACACGATATATATTTTGGAATTTTCATGTTGAGAACACAAGCAATACATGTGCACACATATTATAGATATTCTGTTAGGTGATGTGTAAATATTGAAATGCTTGAAGTACAAATAAAATAGTCTTTGCTGCTGAGCTCATATTCTGTTAGGAAATTGTTGACCATTTATGTTTGCTTGAAATTATGAAGGTATAATAACATTTATAGGAATCTCAGAGATCAGTGCCAGTAGGAATGGTTCGGATGATTGTACTATAGGACAGTTGTGGTTGTTGGGCTATTTCCTAAAAAAAATTCAGGGAACCAGCCACCCTGGTGGTTTAGCGGCTATGATGTTTCACTGCTCAGCACTAGGGCACTGATGTGATTCCAGATCATGGTAACTGCACTTTTAAGCGTTTTCATTGCAGAAATGCAAGTGTACCTATATTTAGTAGCACATTAAAATTCCCAAGAGGCTGAAATTAATCTGGAACCCCCACAGTAGGGCATGTCTCCTAATGATGTCACAGTTTAGCAGGTGAAGCCAACGGAAAAGATAGATGTATCTGGGGCATTGCATCTCGCATTTTATATTTTTTGCTCCTTTACAACATAGTGCTGTTAACACAGGGCTGTTCATTTTAAGGATAAGTTAACTAGGCTTGAGCAGACAGTGGCAAAGTTCATGATGCAGCTGTGTACTTTATTGGGTTATTTAAAATTTGGCCGCCTATAGTGTCCTCTGATGTAATGAGTGGCTTCTCGTATTGCAGACGCCTGTTTTACTAATTCAAGCCAGCTTATTTTTTCTTGGTTTGTTTTAAAAAGTTTAGCAATTTCTTTTCTGTGACTAAATTTTATATATTTCTTGTTGTAACATAAAATGATCTCATCACTCACATTATTATGGTGATTGTTATTGACTTAAAAGCATAGAATAATGTAGAAAAATGAGCTGCAGTGATTATCTTGGTAATATAATTACTTGTGTATTTTATTTCCTTCTTAATGAAATTAAGCAGCATAAAACAAAAATTATGAATTCATTCTTCTACTAAATTGCTGAACTTTACATATGTACGCCTCCAAAATTTCAAGGAATGCAAGTTCTATGTGAAAGTTGGGTACACGCAATTATTGGCGTAAGGTACAACTTTTGTGGCAATTCCTCGCACATTGCCGGGAAGCTGCACTCAACAAACAGTGCTTCGTTAAAAGCAGTCATGGCTAAATGTTTCAAACTATTTATTTGGCATTATTTGATCTGACAGCTTTGCCTAGTTGCTTTTATAAAGTTTGAATAGTGTTGCATTAGTATGGGCTTAAGTTATGCTGGTGGACCTTTCTTTTATTCATTTTATGAGTGTTTTTCTTTCTTTTTTTTTCCTTAAGGAATGGGGGTGGGTGGGGAGGAATACAAAGGCACACTGTGCACACACTTGGATATGTTGAAAAATTTAGGATAACGCTAATTATTTCACTATTTTATATTGTCTCAGTGATTTATCAATTGGCTGTTTCATTGTGGAGAGAATTGAAGTTTTATACATGCTAGAAATATTATGAAAACTATATTTTATTTCTTCTCTGGACTAATACATGATCTATGGATGTTTTCTGTAATACAACCTATTTTAGTTATAGCATAATCAAGAAATAATGTTATTCTTTGAATTATATTTCATAATTGTACATTGACAATTTTATACAAAGTTGGTAGGAATTTATAATAATAATATCTGGGGTTTTATGTCCAGAAACCATGATATGATTATGAGAAACATCGTAGTGCAGGGCTCCAGAAATTTTGACCATCTGGTGTTCTTTAATGTGCACTGACATCATAGAGCACATAGGCCTCTCATTTCGCCTCCACCGAAATGTGACCGCGGCAGCCGGGCTAGGAATTCATGCTAAAATGGCAAGGTAGCTAGTGACTCCTGCTTCTGATGTAGTATCTTTATCTAGCTACACTTGGTTTATGTACGCTCTGGTATATTTGGTAGAATGCATAACCTTCTTGATGACAGTGTGAGAAAATGGGAACAAAGAATTATACTGAACACTGCAAGTGCTTACTCACGACTAATGTTCCATTGAAACAGACATTTGAAGGCTGACAGAACCAGCCGTGCAGTTCTCAGAACTGAATGATACCTCTTCTTAGAATCGGGGCACAAAAGAAATAAGGATGATGCAGCTTTTAACGTTGACCTCTCTTGGACAACAAATGGAGTTTGTATAGGACAGTCATTGGCACTACACTATAGCGATGACCATGCAGACCAAATGCTTAAAAGATTTATATAAATAATGAGGATTGTGTACCAAATAATGGGCAAAAACTTGTTTAAGGGACGTAATTTTCATGGCTGCTGTTAGCTGGCCATGTTGAGGTGTGCAGTTGAGGTCACTTCTTGCTCACCGTTGCTCACCATGTATCAGAAGTGTTGGTCATAGATTTTTGTGGCATAAATGAGTATATATCTATTAGTCATCCTCATATGACATAGGGCATCAGTGGACATATGTTGAATCTCATTTACTTCAGAATTATTATGGGATGTGCTTTCTTCCCTGCTAGCATTTATTGTGTTTTCATTTTTTTGAAGCTATATTCTTAAAACTTCTTCATCTCAATGCAGAGCGCCTAATGGGGATTTTAAAAGGGACCTTAAGTGAGCCAACCAACATTTATGCGTAATAGGAGTTGGCCGGGCAGCGTTTGGGATTTGCTGAAAATGTCTTGGCATAATGTGAGGTAGTATCGTCGCCTTTACAGAAAAGCGGCTGGAATGTGAGGTGTCTTATTTTCACACCTTCCATTTAGTTTCTGTGTGGCTGCTGTATGTTATTTCATTGTGGAATTTAGGCCAGTGCTGTTGTTTGATTGTATTTTTGATTTTGTCCATCGACTTTTACATTTTATGCCAAAGTTTGTCGGTAATGCTTCTGCTGAGTGTTGGCATATGCGATGTTTAAGCAAAAATGTATAATAAATGCAAATTTTTACCATTCGAAGCGTGTCAATGCCTATTTAATAGGTTTAGCATAAATGTGTCTAGAATTGATGTGTCTAAATTATAGGCCTAGTAAATAGGGTTTGATGTGTTCAGTGCCAAGTGAACTACGCTAATGTCAAAGAGTTGATCATCACTGTTCGATGCTGTCTGGTTATTCTTTATTAAATATTATTGCTCCATTCTGGTAATGCTTCATCACAGACTGTGCTGTGAATGCAAGCACTCAGGCATTGTTAACACTGCATTATGGAACATTGGCTACAAACTGGTAGAGGCCCGAGATGATGCATGTGCTTTTGTCCTACATCTTATGTTTACAACCTAGGTATTCAACTGAAAGGGACTGTGCAACACATTTTTAATGAATCATCATATTATAGGATTTCTTTGTCTTGCGAATGAACTGCCTTAAAAAATTTCGAATACATCTTGTGTGTAGTAGCGGAGTTATAGGGGCTTATCGCATGCTTAATGCACTTTGAACAAGAGAGAGAGAGAGAGAGAGAGAAAGGCAAAGGAAAGGCAGGAAGGTTAACATTGTTGCACCCGGTTCACTGAAGTGAGCTCGCTTAAAGCTCTACTGGGGCCCATGACCAAGGGACAAAGCTGCATTAGCGCGTATCATGACCTTGAGCACTTTTTTTTTCTTTAAACTTGTCCCCTCACTTTTGGTGTTATCACGAGTGATCCAGTGTATTTCTACAGCGCGAGATTTTAGCTGTATAGAGCGCGGCGCTGGTATGTGGCAGCAACCCGTCGAAGCTGCGGTAATTATGCCGGAGAAGGACACTCTAATTAAAGGAAAACGTCAAGAGTCTTATGTTCCAGTCAGCTATTAGCCATGTCGACTCTCATGAATGATGTGTCGGATTAATCTATCGCGACATTTGCCGAAAGAAGAGTGAGAAATTTGTAGCTGTGGTAAAAAGATGGCGTTTCTATAAAAATTTTCTCACAGGTTCAGAGGACCCTCGACTACCTATTGGCAGCATTTTCTGGCCATGTTCAAGAAAGTATTGCAGGGCCACATCAGAACCAGTGAGGCCCCGCGACATGTTACCATCTATTGCCTTTGCAATAACCATTTCGCGACTTAAAGTCCGCTTCGTTAGCCGGATGGCCAGTGAGTGAATGGTGGTAATGGTTAGAAGAAGAAGGCGGCTGATTTCTGCAGCCCGGTAGAGAGCACAATGCAGCGCTTTAGTGAGTGATCGCGAGCCTTTATTTATCGAAGGGGGTGAGAACTGAGGGAGGCTAAGGCCCG